AAATGTCACGCTGCTGAACACTAACAGCGGTCTAGCTCAGAACGGCCGCAACAAAAGCGCCGCCGACTGCAGCCAACTGCAACTTTGTGGGGGAGGAAGAGAGAGGGAGAGAGTGGCAAAGAGAGAGAGAGAGAGACAGGGAGATGAAAGCAGCAGCAAGCGAAACTGGTCAAAATATACAGTTGGAGCGGCAAAAGCGGCACGAGAGCGGATGCACAGCCATTGACCATAAACTTGAAAACAGAACAAAAACAGCTAACAGGCTAACAGCCGGCTAACAGTGGCCGAGAGCAGGCAGAATGTTGGCCATATTCGACTGCCAATTATGCTCGGGCCTTCGCTTGGAGAATGGGACTTAACACAATGTGACAGACGTCACTCAAATGGCCAAGAAGCGAGCGAAAAAGTGAGCAGAAAGCGTTTAAGAAAATCAATAAATAAATATTTGAAGAGCCGAGCGGATGTTAAGCCCGACGTCTCAAGCCTTAATTACCTTTCTTTGCCTTTTTGACAACACACATCTCCTTGGCCACGAAAGTAATAAGATATTTATGTGGCGTGCCGTGGCCTCTCCTTTCTAATACACTTTAAATATTAAAGTTAACGCCCTTTTGTGTTGTGTTGCATTAGATACACACTTGAGATGGCTGTTGGCCAACACTGCGTATGCTTAATTTGGAAGCCCTTAAATATTCAATTGGCAGGGCGGGCGCCTTTGACCCTTGGCATTCGTCCTGGCTTTGTCTTTTGGCCAAATCGTTGAACCCAAGTTCAAGAGTTCATCTTGGGGCAGCATCTGCCCCCTGGAATTTCATCTGCTCTTAGCCATGTTTATGGCCCCTTGTTGCGCATTTATTGTGTGGTAAAGCCAGTATTTGCCACCCCCCGAAAAAACACTGGAGGGTTCCTTGACGCCTTCGACTTTTGTATGAGAAATACGCTTTTATGCTCCCCATTAATTCCATTTGGCCACCCTGTCTGTGTGACTACCTCGCCGAAATAACGAAAATAACAAAAGCTAAAATTGGTTTAATAGTCGCGACGAAGTCTGGGCATTTGAAAGTTTTTTCTTTATTTTTCTTTTGCATATAATTAATGATTAGTTGGGTTTTTGTAGGGGCTTGGCTATACGCATCATTATTTGGCGTTCATTACCTTTTCATGTTTTTTGGGAGAGGGAAGTAGTGTTGGCAAAAAGTGTGTGAGAAGTGTGACTAAACCCAGTCGGAATGATTAATGCTGAAATAGTTTTTACTTTTCATCAGTTTCACATTTCCTCGGTTTACTCCGGGGTTTTGATTACACAAAGATGGTATTATTAGAAATGATTTCATTCCTTGGGTTTTTCTTAAGAAGCTGTTTATATTTTCTAGATTTTTATTCTCCTTCTTGGCACTTATAATTCTCGTATGTCTTTCACACATTTCGCTGTTATGTGGAACGGTTGATCCACTGCCTGTCCAAGGTCTTTTTAAAGCTCTATTATGTAAACGAGCCGACCATTTTATTATTTCTTTCCGTTTACTGTCACAAGCTAGATAAAAGTATCTATGACTGTTTTAATTAAAGTTACCATAGCCAACTGACCTAAGCCGTATTTATGGTGAGCTCAAGAGGCAGTTTAAAAGCGACAGAGGCGTAGGTAGCTCTTAAATTGAGGAATTCTTACTAAGATACCCCTTTGATACAGCCCCTGATCAAGCCACAGCTCATATATCTTGTTGGTTTGTGTGCTCTTCGTCTTTGGTTGGAACAAGCCGAAAGATTCATTCATTCGGAGTGTTGGTTGTTTGGCTTTTGTGTCTAAATGCGGGAATTAAATAGGGAAAGAAGTAACAACTTTCTGGCGAAAAATCAAAACACGTTTTTCAGCGGCAAGGCCACACAACACAAAGCAGCAGACGAGCTCCAAGTCCCACCAGGTATGTACACCTGGCCCACCTGGCGACTGATGAAGTCGCCGATCCCGGCACGTCTTGTCAGTCACATCGCCCCCATCCCATTCCAATCCAGATTCCCTCCCTCATCTAGTCATCATCCCGGCTCCCTTCTTTTTGTGGTTCGTCTGGCGAAATTTCCATTTCGTTAAATGTGGAGAATTTACGAGCTTTCTGGCTGCACGTGCACATGTCCTTTTGTCCGAAATGCTTTACGAGTCCTTGCAGTCATTTGCCACTGGAAATAGAGAAAAATTTTAGGGGGTGCCTGGGGATTTTCTAAATTTTTCTGTCGGTCCCCGACTTCAATGCTATTGAACTTTGGCGTCTCGACGTCTCTGACATGAGCGAATAAGTTCTTCGGATAACGCAAATAAATTTTAAGCAGCCCAGACTTTGGCCACAAGAACTGCAAAAATATATACAAATGCAAGGATATATACACAATACTACTGGGGCATTTTGCACTTGTGTCAATAACCCTTATTAGGGGAAAAGCACAAACTCCCACAAGTCATGCGAGCTCATGCAATTTTCTTGGAAATTTGTCGAAGCCAGCATAAAGGACGACATTCTGCAAATTCTTTGTGGCACACAGAAAGTTTGGCTTGAAAACGTAAAGGTACATCGATAATTGCTTTAAAAAACTGTCTCTCTCTGGTGCAATTAAAGGGAAAACACCCTCCGTGCTAAACATAAATGCAAATCACTTTTTAGTTGGATGTAATCACCAACCAAACGCCCTGCAAACTTCCATCCTGCCACGCCCTCCGCCCTTCCCTGTTTTTTTCGTCCTGCATTAAAAGCATTAACATTGCCAGTGGCAACACAGCAGAAACTGAACTGAAGATGCAATTTAAACGATGCTGCTGCGATGCCCTCTTAGTTTCGCCACTCTCAAGGGTAGTTAGAACTTGGGAAAATTATTTAACTTTAAGTAGTGACAGTTTAGAGAACAGTTTGCCAATCGTCACTGGGAAAAAAGTTTGAAAATCTTAATATTTTACAGACACTCTAAGCCTTTATCATCTTTATCAACTTTCAAAGAACCAATTTGTTATTTTTTCAAACGGTTTACAAATTGATTTGGTTTACAAACCTTAAGAAACCAAATAAATGGAAAAAAAGAAAGAAGAGAATTTTTAAGTAGTACTATTCTTAGTACATTTTTCGTTCCTTCATTAAATTTTTCAATGTTTTAAGGGATTATTATAGGTTTTGAACTGAAAAAGCTTATGGAATTTGCCATTGCAAGTCTTCTACATGTAAAAGACTACCAACATTTGTAATCCACAAAGAAACTTGGGAAGCTAAAATTCCCAATATATTGGGAATAGAACCTATAGGTTCTATCTGCATATTGGTGGTAACTCCTTCAATCGTGCTAAGTATTTTATCGATTTCAACGCTAAAGATCCGGATTGGCTTTTTTTGTATGTGCTGGTATAATGTCGCATCTTAGTCTTACTTCCAATTTAAGCCAACATTTTAAAAGATAAGTTTCTTTAAAATTTTATCGGAATTCGAATTAAAATTGTATTTTCAATACGAATATTGATTGTATTTTTCGCTTGACAATAAACACAGGGTAAGTGCTGGCGGTGCATTTGAAACCCTTCTACACCCACACATGTACACAAATTTCCGTGAGGAGGCGACTTCAACACGCAGCTGCCCACTTGGGTGACGTGACTCCGTGAAGTATGCAATGGTTTTTTGTTATGTTGCTACCAGACTTTCGCATTTTGCCCACTTTATGGCTCCAAATGCTGTTTCCCTTTACGACTGCTCTTCATTCTCCATCCTTTTCCCCCTTACCCCCCTTACCCCCCTTCGCCACCACTGTGATTGTGTTGTTGTCTTGCAACTGGCCTAAAGGGGTTGCATATTCGCCTTTTGTATTTGTTGGGCTTTTGTGCAGCGACCCACGGGGTGTTTTAATGGGCGGCAGTGGCAGTGGCAGTATGGCAGTGGCAGGGTGCAGATGCAGCAGAGTGCTTAACGCTTTATTTTCATTAACATTCCTAAGTTGCCTCTTCAACGGCTTTAAGCTGTACGACTGAACGGCGCATGCGTTGAGGGTGCTGTTAATGAACAGGGTCCTGCCACAGGACCTGCAATTAGCAATTCGCTTTTCGGAGATGTAATGATATGCTGATAATAATATCCATATGTCAAATGCTTGGCATTTAGTTAAACAAGTTCTTTGAGTGACGGCAGGGTTAACGTCTCCTCAATTCGAAATCGATCAACCTTCGCCCCTCATTGCAAATATGAACCACCTCTACCTTTTGCCACTTCCACAACCGCTTTTAAATTATTAAAGTATCTATAGACAAAAAAGAAGGTAAAAGCTTTTTATCGATTTTCATTGTTGCACAGCAAACAATGGTTTTAGATTCTGATTGAGTCCAAATGCAATTTTAAAAAATTATATAATCTTTAATACATTTTTTTGTTTGTTGTGATTCTTTCGTAAGTATCATAAAATGATCATATTTAACATTAAAATTAAGAAAGGTTTTTTATTTTTAATTTTTGCTTTGAATAGCTTCAAATCATCATTAGTGTGGTTACTTAGAATAAACGCAACATTAAAGGTTTTAAAAATTGTAATGTATGTCAAATATTATAAAAAACAAACCAATCATCATCATTTTTCATTTTGAAGGACTTATGAAATTTTTACTGTCCTTGCATTATTATTGTTTTAATTTCTCAATTTTTCTCTGTGTGCGCTATGTTTGTGGTTTGAAAACACAGACCCTTCTAAAGAGATTGCTGGGAAAGGCGGGTCGACATCCCCGGATGATATTTTTGTTGCCAATTGACAACATACATTACAAGGTCTGCAAGGTTGGGGTTGAAAGCTTTAACATATGGTGGCTGTGGGAGAGAAAGAAACGCTTTTGGCTTCCTGGAAACACATATGGGGTGTAAATACCTTTCGTCGTGAAATTCCTACTGGAATGGAACCTGCTGTTATCGATAGCATCCACCCTCATCAGCTGATAACGAAAGCTCCGATTTACTAAGGGTGAAAAAGCTTTGCAACGTAAATTTTCCAATTTTCTGAACGCCTTCCATTGGTTTACATTTCGCTTGCTCTCCAGTGTTTGACAAACCACGAAAATAAAATTGAAAAACCATTTAAAATATTTAGTAAGATAATGGTAAGGCGGAGAAAGGTCACAAAGTTATTATTTTCGTGCGCTCAAGTGTAAATCAAAGAAACGTGTGCGGTGGCAAATTTACGCAGCCTGAAGAAAAGGCCAAAAATCAATAAGCGTGTAACATTTGTAAACACGACAAGCCCTCTTGGATTTTCTCTACGGAACCAACCCCTGCCACTCCCCCCACCCCCCCCCAGTGAACTGTGACCGCCAGCTGCCCCAAAAAGAGAAGGAAAACCGCAGAAATAACCATTAGCCACCGAAATGATTGCCAACTTTGCGCTGTCTTTGCTGCTAATGATTGCGGGAGCAGCAGCCACCGCGGAGCAGGTGGAGTACCTGGATCCACAGCAATCTTCGCCAGCGGATCACCGTCTTAGCAAACGCATGGATCTGGAGGTGTGCATAGGTGAGGCTTACTCGAATACGAACATCCATATTGAACGATGGTAGTACCGATTGCTTTGAATAGTTGACTTATCTGCTTCAGAGTGTTTTTAGTTATAAAGAAAGCTTCTTGATCAAAAATATAATTTTAGCAAGTTATGTTTACCACCTGTTATTTTAACCAATAAATGATTAGATTAAACTGCACGAATCTCAAATTAAAAACTAAGAATGATATATGTTATTAAGTTTATATTTATTATGGAAATTATTGTTCAAATGCATACAATTTATTAAATATTTAAATAAATCAGTAAATATTTTATTTATATGAAACATTTTTTAGCAGCTCACAATTAATTCTACACACATTACAAAAAGTTTTACTCATATCAAGGTTCAAATATAGAAACATATTTTATCAAGAGTTAATTTTACAGACATTATAAAAAGTATTACTCACATACATTCTTTCAAAAATTAAAATTAATAAATATAGTTTCCTTTTTGTGATACATAGCTGTTACTTATAGTTTTTGAAATTGAATTGATTTAAATTAACTTAATTTCCAGGTCACTTTGACGTTCATAAAAACACCATAATTCGCACCGGGGAATCCCAGGCGATTGGAGGGAAGTACCTGCAGGGTCTCGAGTTGGACACCATCGAGGAGTGCGAAAGGCTCTGCTGCGAAACGGAGTCCTGCGACGTGTACATCTTCGAGCGGAAGGCCGGCGGCTATTGCTATCTCTTCGAGTGCGGCCCTCCGGAGGATTTCCGCTGCAAGTTTACGCGTCACGCCAACTACACCAGTGCCGTGCTGAACCCTCAACCCAGGCAGACCAGCGAGTTGGCCAGCACTCCGCGTCCGCAGTTGCCCCACATCCCCAGCAACAATGTGTCGCAGCAGGAATGGGAACTGAGCAATTTGAAGCTGAAGCCGGAAGCGAGGGACAAGCCCACAGTTTCCACCGCCGCGGTGGTGGCACCCACATTGGGCACGGGAACGGGAGCGGGCTTGGGCCAGTCAACAGCTTACCAAGCGCAAAGTGGTGAGTTGTGGCTGGGTTTTGATAACCAATAGCTGGTACTCTTTGAATTCGAGGGTGTAGTCGAATTATAATCAAAAATAAACATATATGTGGATAAACTTTTTGATTTGACATAAGATTTTATACCATATATTAATGATATTAATTATGCTAAAAGCAAAATAAGTATAAAAGTTCACTGGGCTTTTATAGTCAGGGGCAAATGCCTTACGACATGTCTTATTATGCTATTTTCCTTAAATTTATCGATTTAACATTATAAATATTTTTCTATCGTATAAAATAGGTTAATTTCTGTTTTTTTGTTCTGGGTTGAAATTTGAGTGAACTCTTTGCCAAGATCAATGACCAATCTATTCGTGTATATCCGTTTTTATACACAATCTGAACAAAGTAAAAATTATATTTAAGGGGTTACATCCAGTTAGACAGCCGAAAAAAGTCGATATTTTAGGAATTTTTTCTGGTAAAACAATGGAGTATTTTAGTTCACAAATTAATGCACATATAAAGAGTACTTTTAACTTTATTTTTGCATAGTTTATTTATAAAAATTATTTTTTTTACACCTTGTATAAAATATTTTCTGGAGCTCCTTCGAATCGAGACAGCTAGCGGTGAGCACGTTATTTCTCAACTGGATTATCTAAAATTAAAAATCAATGATTTTTTCGTTAATATAATACATTATCTTGTGATTAATCGAAGGAATAGACAAAAAAATAATTTTTAACAAAATGGCGCCTTCAGAAAGCGAAAGTATCAATTTTTGACAAAAATTCACGACATCAATTGTTTATAAAATGAAAAATATTTATTGTAAAAAAAAACCTTCGATTGATCACTAAACAATATTATTAAGAAGCTTGTGTTAAAATCTGAGACCGATCGGTGCAGCCGTTTTCGAGAAATCTTGCTCACCGACTTTAAAATCATAGTTTTGAGAAAAACGCATTCAATTTCGACGTTCCGCTTTCAGTCGCTCCGACACATGCATGTAAATTATAATATAACTTGGGAAATATTCATCGGATCACCTTGAAATTTTTTCAGGGTACTCTTAAATAAATATACTTTACGAAAATGCAATAAAAAAAAATCGATTTTTTCAAAATCCTAAGTGGATGTAACCCCTTAAGTCCCTTTCACAAATAATGTAAGAAATTACTTTACTGTCTTTTATGGTACCATTAAGTCGGTGTACTCGACTATTGCGACAATTTGTTTTATTTAAATGAGAAACTATCGCCCCAATTTCAGCTCCCGCTGCGCATTGTGGTCGCTTCCAGTTCACCTGCCATTCCGGAGAGTGTATCGCGGTTTACAATGCCTGCGATGGAATTCCCCAGTGCGAGGATGGGAGCGACGAGGGACCGGAAGTGAGTTGCCCTATCACCTGGCTTTCGCCCCTTTGTAAGCGTTAATTGCTAACCCATTTTTCAGTGCATCACGTTATCGTCAACGGCCACAAAATCGGGCAGTAGCAGCAGCAACTTGGAGGCCGTGAAGCCCATGGTACCGCAATATCTGCCTGTGCAGAACGTGCAACAACAGTTGCAGGTCGTGGCCCAGCAGCAACAGCAACAACAGCAGCAGCAGCAACAAGCGCAGCAGCAACCACAACATGTCATTGTCTTGGGTCCACCACCACCACCGCCTCCCCCACCGCCCATGGTGAACAACCGCGAAGATGCCGCCGCCTGGGCAAACCGCAAGATGATTGCCGAAGGGCAGCAGCAGCAACAGCCACTGCCGCAGCAGCAACTGCAACAGCAGCAGGCACCTCAGCAAAAGGCAGAAGGCATAAGCACCGGTAAATACAGATAAGGGGACATAGAAAAATATAATTATTTTTAAACAGGGTAAGATTTTACCAACTGAACATATGAAAAAAATTATTTTTTGACTAAGGCGGAGATCTTGGACAAATTGGGCACTAATGAATTGGAATCTGGCTAAACGAAATACGAAAATATATTTCTTTATATGCTCAGTTCAGAAAATCTAACGCAACACAAGAGTGGTTTCAACTTAAATATATTTTAATATTAATTTCGAAATTAAAGTACATTAAAATTTAATAAAAGTAAAATGTATAAAGTTGTCCATTGTTTTAGGATAAAGTTACAACCTTTTTTTTTAAGTTTTATGCTTTTTAAGGGGTAATGGGAAATAGGTTCAAATACTTAGCAAATGTGTTTAATATTTTGAATTTAAACCTAATTTGAATACATTACTTAAAAACATTTTTTGTAAACTAAATTTTGTCTTGTGCCTCTCAAATAATAATGTTAGTATACCTACTTGTATGTCTAACAAAGTTGTCTCTTAAGGCAATATGCATTGCATTCATATTAATAATTTTAAATATATAAAATCCCCTTACTCACGTCTTTCCGACTATAAATGAATACGAGTGACTTCCGCTTTAGCACTCCCTTTGTTGCTCTTAGTTGTTAATTAAAGTCGATTGAGTGTCCAGCAGCAATTAGGTATAGTCAGAGAGACAGGGCAGACTGACAAAACTAAAAATTGAGTAAATATTTATAAGGGAAAAGAGTGGTCCCCGGAGGCTCCGGCGCCCAGTGCGACATTAGCACACAAATAGCCGGCAAACCGCACGCAATGATCCCACTGCCAGGGCCATCTCCCTTCCAACTTCCAACTTCCACCCCAACCCAAAGCTTTTCTTCTGGGAAAATCGCAAATTGCACATCAGTTTTCATTGTGTGAAATAGGAGCTGCCGCCGTTCGAAATTGATTTACGGATGTTTTGTACATGTGCGTGCTGTGTCTCTGTCTTCTCGTAATTAATTCAATTAGCTGTGCGTGAACTGGGAGACACACTTCATACTTCCTTGTGACGCTTCCACTTTCTTGCAGATGAGCAGAGCCACATATTCAGCCACAAAGGCGGTCTCCAATTGCAGCAGCCGGCGAATGGACAGGGGCAACTCCAGGTTCAGGGGCAGAGCCAGGGACCAGCGGCGGTTCAGGTTCAGGGGCAATCAGCACCGCTCCAATTGCCCGGCTACGATGGCAATCAAGCTATGTATGGCATGTCGCTGCCACGCTCCGGAATTTACTTGTCACAGCAGCAACATCTACCGCAGCAGCAACTCCAAGCATCCGCCGGCCAGCCGCAGGTGCAGCCCAATGCCGTGTGGCCCCCACAAACTCCTTTGGCCCCGCAGCAGCAACAGTCGCCTGTGCAGCAGCAACCATCGATGACACCGCAGCAACCTGGTCATGTCTACGCCGCAGCTTCACCCATCCAATCCTCGCCAGCCCAGCAGCAATCCATGCTGCCTGTCCTGAATGCAGCACCCGCCCTGGGAAAAAATCAGGGCCCAGCGGTGGATGGGGACTACGAGGATTACGATGAGGAAAATTACACAGAGGCGCCCAAAAAGGTGGGATAAATTGCCATAATCTTTAAAACAAATTTAAATAATTTCCCCTTACCAATCTTATAAATAATTCCTTTTAAATCCACAGAAGCAACACAAGCACAAGAAGGTCAAGGCGAAGATGGCCAAAGATCCCATTGAACTAGCCCTGGAGCAAAATAAGCAACAGCAGGAGGGATCACGGCCAGCACTGCCCGTTCCCGTTTCTCCAGTGCACGAGCAGCACAAGATGATCCATGAGAATCTGGCGATGGAGTTCCGGGATCACGACGGCCACTCGGAGCGTCCCGGTGGAGCTGTCCTCTCGCTGACTTTGGGCCTGCTGGTGACAGCCGCCCTGGCCATTCTGATTGGGTGCAGGATGCGGACGGTGAGCCGGAGGGCACGACGTCTGGGCGGCAAGACGCCCTATTCCCAGGAGGCCGACTTCCTGGTCAACGGCATGTATCTTTAAGGCATCTGCCTGTGGGGTTTGACGGGGCTTGCCAAGATTCTTTGAGTTGTTCCACGCGCGGGGGATCGCGCGCAAATATTTATAATTAATAGTGTAATGAAAAACATATTTTATATAAACAAAGATGTATCAAATAAAATTAAAACAAAGTAATTACGTGACATTTATTTTTGGCAAGAAACCTGAGGAACCCGAATCGATGGTGAGTTGTTCAAAGAGCCGCATAAATAATTTTGCAATATTTTTTATTTAAGTTCGTTTCCATCCTCGATTTCAGTTTTTGTTTTGGTTACGAAAAAAACTTACAATTATTTTTTATGAAATCTTGCTTTCAGTTTTTTCATTGATGTGACACTGACTGTTTAGTCATTAAAACTACAAAATAGTAGGAAGTTGGTTTTTCATTATATTTTTGCTTTGTTGTTCCTTTATATATCAGCTTTATTCTCTTCATTGCCTTTGTTTAAAATAACAAATTCCGCTATGGTGGAGCTTCTTAATTTTCAAGTCTAAACTCAATACAAAATCAATTATTACTGAAAAGTATTTGGCCAAAAAAAACAAATTCAGAACACTTAAAAATATCACATTAAAAATTTAAACCGAATCGGATTTTATATATAAATAACACAAATTTATTTACTTTCGATTTGGAATTTGGAATAGGTTGTCTTAAGTTGTGTATACATAAATTTTTCGTTTTTCGTTTACCACTTCACATTTAGTCTTTTGTTGATGAGAATTTTTCTTGCTGTGGCCAGTTTTTGAATGAAAAGTATCCTTTACGAAGTTTACTGCCCTGACATTAGTTGCATTAATATATTACGCATTAAAATAGGCTTTTTTCGTTACTCGTTAGCTCCATTTTCACTTAACACTGTACACATATAATATAAACTAATTGTATTTATATTTATTTATGCAGTTGAATAGTTTATAGTTTAATATGTCAATGTGCAATTTATGATGCATTTTGTTTTTGAATGGGTTTCTCTCGAATGACTCGTTCCAATGTTTTCGGTTGCTAAGCGATCTAAAACAAAACTCGTTTCCGAAAAATACAACTCAAGAAATCTCCAAATGTTTTTACAATTGTTGTATTAACTCGACATAAATATAGGCTGAATTGGATCGACTGGCTGTTGGCGGTTGCTGTTCATGCTACGTGTACATGTTATGGTAGGTATTACTGTTAATTTATTAGTTATCGTATTTTAATATATATTTATAAAATAGACTTTCTCATTTGCAAGATGCGATTTTTCGTTTCTGTTGTTGCAGTTTTCGGTTTGTGGTACATGTACGATGCCAAAATTTACGCATCATGTTGCGTACCTATATGTAAAATAAGAGGTTAATGATTATTAACAATTTGCTATAGATAACTTGGAGGGACCTACCGTTTTGTCCAGAGACGCGCAATTCGATCATGTTCCTCACGATTCTGCAAATATTGCGTGGCAATGCTGCCAACCAGCGGATCGGCTGTAAAAAGATTAAAGTTAAGAAAAATATAAACATTTTATTTGGATTCTTAATTGTTATAACCCTAGAAGTAGAACCAAAGTGATCGGGGATTATCCAGAGCAACACGTTAAAAAACTGAGCACTTCTTTTATTTCAGTTTTTATGATTTATGTATTCGTTGCAAAGAAATTCTTAGGAACTGAAACGAAAAGCATGTTGACACCTAACAAATTTGTAATGCTTATGTAGACACTCGTACGAAATCTGCTTGTAAGTACTTTACTACTGACTAAATTAAAATCAAAATACAAAAGGTCCCTATACCAGATAATAAACGATCTCTAGAAAAAGTAAATAGTCCAGTGTGCTACAATTCTAGCAGAATTTGCAAGCCTTGGTTTCATTCAAAATTTCTAAAGGTTTTCCTTAATTTTTTTAACTAGCTAAGAATACAACTAGCTTGATCCTAGATCTTAGCATTCTTAGGAATCAGCATCTATGATAACTAACAGAGTGTGTAACCTGATATCCATACTAACCATTGAATGCTTAATAAGAGCCTAGCTATTCAGGAAGGACCTTTTAAGTACATTAAAAACTTGAAAATTTAAATCTGATTAAACCTGATGGCATTTGCATACTAACTACAAGAGAATTAACGATTAAAGAAATACCGATTTTAATTCTACTTGGGCAGGACTCTGTCTTTCATTCCTCACCTGGATTACAGTCTGTGAGCAGGGAGCAAATTGACAGCAAGACCTTTGATATGGTCAGCGCCGGCGACCAGTTGTCCTTGAGTATGTCTAGGCAGATGACGCCCTGGCTGTTAATGTTGCAGTGATATATGCGCGTGCGGAACGTGACTTTGGGCGGCTTGAAAGGGTATTCCGGCGAGAAGTGAATGTCGAGGAAGAAGACGCCGCCCTCGTAGACGGACCCGGGTGGTCCCAGGATAGTGGATACCCACTCGTACAGGTTGTCGCCTTTGGGCCCGGCACTGCAGTTGGGAGGTGGGTCCAGTGTGATCTCGGCCAGTTCCTTTTGGATGCGCTTGGCCGAGGTGCCCAGGGCCTTGGATATCCTGGGCGTGGGCTTGGCGTCCTTGCGCGGCTCATCGCCGCCGGCGGCATTGCTGCCGGAGGCTCCTCCGTTGGCGTTGCTACCCCTGCCGCCACGTGCCTGCGGCGTTCCGGCGGACACTGGCTGGCTGGGATTGCTCACATTGGTGGCCGTCGTGCTGGGTGCGCTGGGGACATTCGAGGTGGCACTGGAGGTGGCCACCTCGGCGGCACTGCCCGCTGCTGGGGTTGAAGACATGTCTGGCCGGGGAGGTTTGAGCTGTAAAGATCAGATCGAGAGGTTATAGGCTGTTTTAAATTTCGAATGTAGGTGATTTATTTGCAAATATAAATATGTAACCGACTTGAGATTTGAAAAAATGGATTAAAATATATGGAATAATTTTATTTTAGATTTCGATGGTGGGCGGTACTTTGGTACTATTCCTACTATGAGTGATATACCATCAAGGAGGGATGTTAAAACAAACGCAGACTATAAGGAATAAACAGAAAATTAGCTTGGACTTTGGAACAAATATTTTATTATAAATATTATAATATAAAAACATATTTTCAGGATATTTAAAAAATGTTTCCAGAAAAACACATGCCATGTTGCATATGTTGGAAAAGATTCTTGGGACTCCTCCAAAAATGTACATTTGGTTTGAATTTACATTCCATCCTCATGAAAAACCCTGCCTAGGGATGTGCACATTTGGCAGAAGGAAAATAGGTGCCAGTGGAATTGCGATATTATAAGCGGGTCTGGGCCAGGTTTCCCCAGGGTCCTTGACCTGGTTTTCCACCCAGTATTTTTTTCTGTTTTCGATGTCAGGGGTTTGCATTTTTCGCACAAACGCACACATTTCTATTGAGCAGCGGCAGCGGCCATTTTGGCAAAAGGGAAAGGGGGACTTTCGAGGGGTTCAAGGCCCCGTTACCGGACACTATCCCCGCCCAGGATCGGGGGATAGTTCCTCTGTGACTGGCCAACCAACTTTCCGCCGCATGTGCTGCATGCGGCAAAAAATCAATCAGCAGACATTTGCAAAATGCCGCCGCCGACTGATGATGATGATGATGATGATGCCGCCGCTTCCGCCGCCTGCGGATTGATTGCACAATTTCGGGGAACTTAAACGCCGATAAAGCGGTGGTCTCCCTAAAACACACAATACACACCTCACTATCGCAGTTTCTTTCACTTTTTTCAATCACAACACTTGCGAAAATAATTCGTTCGCCTCTGTAGCCGTCGCCTGCTGCCCTCTCGCTCGCACTCGTGCGCACACGGCCTTCGCAGTGGGTGCAAGGCTGTTCTGCTGGCGTCCTCGGTGGGTGGCAGTAGGGGCGAATCGGGTCTTTCACTTTTCACCTTTCCGGGTTTTATTATTTGGTTAAAATTACGGTTGGCTAATACGAGGAGACGCAGAGCCGTCTTTATCTTTGTTAGAAACTCGATAATTTATATGTTTGTAGGCAGCTATCGCCCCGGGTCCGTCACTAGCTGCTGGCGGGCCAGAAAAATATCGATGACGAGCTTCTGGCAGCTCCGCGCGCCCTTCACTGCTGTCTGGCAACTCTAAGGTTTTCTGATTTAAAAAATTATTCAAATATATGTGTTTCGAATTAAACATATTTGGATCTTCCATTTATACATTTTTTTAGGTTTTGATGCGGAAGCGCTGTTGCAATTTTTATTATTATAAACAAAACATTAAAAAGTATAGCTGGCTTGTAGCGAACAAAAACTATCTGCAAATTTACACCTAAAAAGTTGAATAAATTAATATTTTGATTTAATTAACCAATCGATAAGTCCAAAAATTGATTAAGTGAATAATATTTTAATAAGTTTTGACGGATTTGTAGAGTCTAAAGAAACAATATGTCAGAATAACGATATTTTGAAGCCTATAAAGGTTATTTTATGTAAGTTTTATTATTGAATTTGAAAAGTTCAGAAACTGCCCTTCAGAAGCTATGCAGGCAAATCAGATGTCTTCAATTAAATGCTTTCACAGCTTAATAAATATTGGCTTGCAGAAGTTTACTTTCCATCTCGTTTTTAGATCAGAACACAAACAAAAGTATCATTCAATATTTACTTAAAGCTTATCTTGTATGTATAAAGGTTTACAAAATATAGGGTTACTTCGTTTCCATATCGTCTGTTAACGCCTTGCGGGATTTGAATACGCGCACCGTATTGTCAGCGCCACCGGAGACGATGTACTTGGGATTCGACCAATCGATGTCCAGAACCTTATCGCCGTGACCCAGAAGGTCGTATAGTGGCGCCTTAGGACTCCTGCAGTCCCACAACTTGTTCTGGTTGTCATAAGCGCCGGAGACGAAGAGGAACTCCTCCGTTGTGGACCACATGACGCTTTGCACCCAGGCATTGTGTCCCAGGTAGGTATTCCGCACCACTGATCCCTCTGAAAGAGCAGATTAATATCGTGTAAGACTATATAAATTGATTATTTTGGGAAAATGTGATCCTACGGTTTGTCCTGGCATCGTATAGCCTCAGATTTTTATCCGCTGAGGCCGTCAGTATCAGGCGGTTCAACCTCGAGTAGCTGGCATCAAAGATGGACTTGTTGGTGGATATTTCGGTTTTGATGCCCTCGAGACTCAGATCCCACACCTTTAGCGTGTGATCCCAGCTGCCAGTGAGCAGAGTGGTGGCATCCATCCATTGCACAGCGGAGATGCTCTCGCGATGTCCTTGCAGCGTCAATTTGGGGGTCTGTAAGGAAATATACAAGTGAGTATAAATAATTTTCTCAATGAGAATGAATACCTACCCTGACGCCGCTCTCCTTCATCCGCTTAGAGGTGCCCTCTGCCGCGTCGTCCACCTCCGCTGACCACACCTTCAGCATGGTGTCCCAGGAGCCCGTGGCGAATCGCTGACCATCAGGACTCACGCTGACGCTATCGACGCCTCGCTCATGGCCCTTGCAAACGGAGACGCACTCCACAGAGTTGGAGGCCACGCTCCACTGCCACAGCATGGCCGTCTGATCCTGCGAGGTGGACACAAAGCGACCCGTCTCCTCGTCCAGTGAAATCCAGTCCACCGCCTTGATGGGCGCCGTGTGGCCGGGAATGGTGAGGATGTGCTTGCCCTTGTTGGTCCACAGATTCAGTGTGTTGTCATAGCATCCGCTCAAGACCCACTTTCCGCTAGCCTTCACCGCCGACACCCAGTCGTCGTGGAGCAGGCAATCCTGGGGCTCCGGCGCCGGAAACCGCTCCACATACTCGATCTCGATGGCGTCCTCGAAGCTGATGGCCTTCTCGCGCAAGTGATCGCACAGCCGGCCGCGCAGGTATTCGTCGAACACCAGGAAATCGAAATCGGTGTCAGATGAGGAGTCATCCTTCTGTCGGAGTAGGGCGTTCACGAATGTGTTCAGCTCCGCGGTGGTGACGGTTCCATCGATGGCATACGGCACATCCGGCACGGCATAGCTGAAAACAGGTTCTTGGATTATACAGTTCCATTTAGAACAGTTTCATTATGGACACTCACTGCTCCTGCTTGGTTTTCAAGTGTACCTGCACCTGCCCCTCTCCGTTTTCCACATCCATCTCCTGGCCCACGTGCGTTTTCCTATGCGGCACTTGATTCGACTTCAAAGTTGGGATTTTCCCAGAGGTAGGTTGTTTCTGGTGACTGGACTCCTAGTGGTTGGAGCAGCAATTGGCCACTCAAATAGTGTTTTTTTTTGCAGGAGCGTGCTCAATTCAGTTTATTTAAGAAAAGCGTGTTTTCAAACGAACGATGGCAAATGCAACAAATACAACTAAATGTATTAAATAAGGGCAAGCGCCTGCGGTAAAAAATGTTATCGCACTCTTCGCGATTCGCGTTAATCGAGTTATCGCTTACTTATCGCAAAACGGTTTTTTGAAATCCAAGAGTCAAGTAACTAAACTTTTAAAATGCACATTTCAATTCTAAATAATTTGTCTAAATTATAATAAAATGTTCAGCCTTAAAAAATGAATAATAGAATTGATTCTCTAAATATATTTGATAATGGTATAATTTTCAAATGAATTGCAAATTATCTTAAAATATTGTCAAGGGTTTTCCATTAATGTGGGCTTATGTTGCCTAAAAAAAAGCCTTCCTAAGACTTTAATGCCGCCTAATTATGAAGCATAAATTATTAGATAGAAACAGTAAAAGAGTTGTTTCCGACAATATAAAGAATATAAATTCTTGATGAGCAACATAAATTTGATGGAATCTATAATAAATTTTTTAAAGTCTAAATAAAATTAAACGAAATTACTGTACTCTTCATTTTTCCATAACTGCAAGGGTTTTTGAACTTAATCTTAACAATGTTCAAATTCATTCGAATCAAAGGCCATTGAATTGGTGGTGTTATTTCCTATGTGCTATATATAAGCTCTATAATCCCCTCATGACGTCGCCACTGAGTTTTGTATTACAACAAAAGTAATTATTTAAAAAGATACGAGCCAAATTCGCAATATTGATAATTAAATATTTTTTGCAAGCAAATCAGGCGCTGATGATTTTCTGCAATTTGGCTTCTCGCTCTCACTCGTTTTGGGCCGTCTTACGCAAAACGGAAAAATAAAAAACGACCAGCCGTGGCAGCAATTTGTAAATGACTCTTCACTCTTCAAAGACTGGTAATTGTTAATTTTTTTCGTACAGGCTATTAATATGAACCAGATAGCACCTGAAAGACCACTTCGTGGTTGAGTTGCACTGGAAGGTTAAATGCCACTTGACATTTCTGAAGTGGCGCTTAACCTTCGCATTAAAATTGGACAAATGCCCAAGAAAATATTTCCAATAAAAAATGTATTTACCTTAATGGGTCGATGGGATATTAAGCTGGAAGTAATAACCATGTTTGTTGTTATTATTTTTTACTGCAAAACTTTTGCTGCTACTGGGGCCTCACGAAAGCCAGAAACGAAGCGAAATGAAAGAGCTGAAGCTTTCCAGATTTTCGGGGCTTCCAGCTGCGGAGCTCGGAGCTCAGCTTATAAAACGGGCTCGAGGCCTGCGAAGCCGAAACATTACAACAAACGTCGCGCGCCAGGTAAGACACTATCCGAATTCGATTCGATTGATTCACGGGATCGCACTAAATACGGCTAAACCCTTGCAGTTCAGAGACCAAATCACATCCTCCAAATCACAAAATGAAAGTGTTCGCGCTGTGCTCGATGCTCGCCCTCCTCCTGGCCGGCGCCCAATCCCTGCCCCAGAATCGCGAGGGCGCCGCCTACACGAACGAGGCCATCCGGCAGGCCCAGCAGACGCTCCTCATCCCCAAGGACGCCCAGATCCAGAACGTCCAGGAGGGCATCGAGCTGGGCGCCTACGAGCAGATCCCCGGCAACCAGCGCATCAACCTGTTCGAGATCCTGGGCGACCAGGTGCCCTCCGAGGTGATAAACAACCTGCAGTCCCAGGTCGACCAGATCGGACGCAACTAGGAGTCGTACTCCTACTCCCTTGGTTAGGTCATTGCATTTCGCCCTCATTGTTAAGTTTCACAGTAATAAAAGAAAACATCACCCGTATTTAATCGAAGCGTCTCTGTCTTTTGCTTTTCGGTGGACGAGCGAAAGCGAAAGTGATCCTACCCGAAAACCAGTTGGATGGTTCCTCTGCAAACTTGCGATCGAAAAAGAGTGATTTATTGGACTTTTGTAGCTTTTTCCTAATGCTCTTCGGACACTTCACTTTCTCCTCGCTGATCCCGCTGCGCATACGAATTAACAATAAAAGTCGGCACATTAATGTTGTGGAATGGTATCCTCAACCTTGTTATGTAAGTCGGGGGATTGTGCACTGCGGTTCAATACGATGGAGTCGGCGGTAACCCGAGAGGTTGCCCCGCCGGCAACTTTTGTGTTGCCGTCGTGATGCAACAGTTGTCGTCGTGATTGTTTTCCTCACCCGTTGCTTTGCTGGGCTTCGGTTTGTTTATTTAATGTCTGGTAATTGCCGCCACATGCACTTGCATGTGTAATGAGATATAGGTACCCAAAAAGGGGGCGTGGCATGCCCGCAGGGAGCTGATGCTTGCGTAACATCTGGGTAGGACCGATGGTCGTAGGGCTCAAAGGCCTACTTACCTGCAGCTTTCAAGAGCGTTTTTCTTCTACATTTAATGTTAATTATAATTAATTAATCTAATTAGTTATGGTAAAACATCTCTTAAACAGTGGCTTATAGTTTAAACATTTAAAAGTCAAGAATAGGAAGTAATACATATTAAAATATAATAATATGAAGAAAAAAGCTATGAACTGCTTTTTCATAAAAAAGTCTTCTTTTTGACAGTTGGTAATAAAAAGTATCAGCAATAAAACATTGCAGAAATGAAAAGCTAAGAAAAAGGATATTATCGAATCTTCAGAATAAAATGACCTAACAATACCAAGAATTTTAAAATAATTACTTTGTTTCGCATCTCTAAAGAAGTGCAAGCAATTAAAGGCGTAATAATCTCTCATTGATGATTCCATCACTCGTAAGAGATAATTGTTTTCTTTTATTTTTATCATTTGTTTTTTTCACTTTTAATTTGTATTTTAAGTAAAGCAAGAAAAGAAACAAGCTTCGACAAGCCGAAGTTTATATACCCTTGCAGTTATTAGAAATCAACTACATTTCGATTTCTATGCCTATATTACTAAAAACAATAAAGATATGTCGATTTTTCGCTGGATTTCGCCATCGTTTCTATGGCAGCTATATGATATTGTTGTCCGACAAAAAAATGAAAAGCAACAAAGTTATAATTGTTTTGAATTTTTTTTCCGATTGTTCCTATGGGAGCTATATGCTCCGATCCGGCTCGTTCCGACTTATATGCTACCTGCAATAGAAAGACAACTTTTGGGAAAGTTTCAAGCAGATAGCTTTAAAAATGAGGGACTAGTTTGCGTAGAAACGGACGGACGGACATGTCATTTATTTCCAAGTTTCAATGTGTTGTTCAAAGAAGGCCCATAACTGGACTTCCGTAGTCCATAACTTTATTAAATTTTATCCGATTTCACAGTGGCATACCTCTAAAGACTCGTAATTTGATTCTCAAAAAATGTGCGTCAAAATTTTTCATTTTAGCGTTGGTCCAATTTTTGACCCATTTTCATGTCATTTATTTCCAAGTTTCCGATGTGTTGTTAAAAGGAGGCCCATAACTAGACTTCCGAAGTCCATAACTTTATTAAATTTTATCCGATTTCAAAGTGGCATACCTCTAAAGACTCGTATTTTGATTCTCTAAAAATCTGCATCAAAATTTTTCGTGGCAAACTTTTGACTGAAATTATAATACCCTCAGCTAGGGTATAAAAATGAGCCTTTCAATAAGATAATTTACAGTCCACTTCTTTTGAAAACGTATTCCAAGTTCTCGTCAATTTACTTGCATTTTTTAATAAGAGGCCAAACTATTATATATAACTATAAATCTTACCTGATTTAAAATTAACCTTAAAGCTCACCGTTTTAATTTTATTTTCTTCCCTTGACTCTTTTTCCATTGCCCCTCAATTGCATTTACTTGTTTTTTAGAATTACCTCATTTTTATTTCATAGTTCATACATTTTAAAATGAGCTTCAATCTAAATTTACGCTAGTTAAAGTATTTTCATAATATAGTTTACTTTATCTCAAAAAATCTGTGTGGCTGTGTGTGAGTGATAGTGTGCACGATCATCGCTTAAATAAATTATGTTCATATAGGTAATTGTTTATTTTATGAACTAACTAAAGAATGACTGCGTTTTTATTTTGACACTTTTCTGCTCTCGTTAGTTTTCAAATTCAGGCGAGCTTTGGAAGTCCTTTTTGGGGAATCCTTGTTCCTCACTTCGATAATCGCCGACTCAATGTCAAGTTTAAATTAGTTTAAATTGTATATAAATTATGGTTAAAGTAGGAGTAATTGTAAATTGCTTTAAATTAAAACTTTTCCATATTCAGTCTAAACTTAAAAGCTTTTCAAATTAAAGAGGACTATATAGTTTGCCATTGCATTCAAAAATAAACCGAAGGTGCAGCGATCGGTTCACTTACGTAACTCCCTCTTGCCGTTTTCAAATCATTTCCATTTGGTTACGAAATAAATTACAAATTAAATAAAATCATGATGAGATAAAACAAGTTAAAAATTTCTCCTTCTCGTTAATGTTGCGACTTATTCGATGAATTTTGGATTGTGGGCGTGGCAATGGTTGAATGTTGTATGTGCACTTAGGTCAATACGTATAAATAAGAAATATAACTAAGCAATTTGGATTGCCTTCGCTTGCGCATCGATGGCAAACTGATAATGAAACATTTCGTTATTGCATTTGGGGAGCCCAGCTTTGCTAATCATACTCATAATAAGTAAATGATTACGTCCATAAGGTTGATAAATTCAGAAGGTCGTTATGCAGTCTATGGAAATGATAAAAATCGTCAAAGGATCCTCCTCTCCCTTTATCTGGCTACTTAAACCTAACACTTTGCTCGCTCGAATGGTTGGATTTTCGTTGTTCTCCAAGCTCCTTGGCCTTACGGTGTATGTATATACAATAAAGGGTTTGATCTTCCAAGTATTCGCACTTCGGACGGCGGTCTTCAGTAGATCCGCTGCAGATAAAGACGTCCCAGTGGCAGGGCCCGCTCCACGAAGCTCTTCTCGGCCCTCGCCGAGGATTTGTCCAGCGCGCTGGCCCTGGCCTCCGTCTCCTGGCTCTCGTCCAGCTTGAGGCTCTCGGCATCGGCCTTGGGATCCACTCCGCCCACCTGACCCACCTGGCCCGCCCCCGAGCCCAGCTCATCGATCTCTAAGGTGGATGCCAGCGTGGACTTGGGGGTAACGGGCTCCCGCTCCCTGGCATCCCCGCTGCCCAGCTCCTGCTCCTCGCTCCGACTAATCTTCTCCAGCTGCAGATCGCTGCCGTTTTGGATGCGGGTCTCCCCGGATATGTCCTCGCCACTGTACATCAGCAGCGGCACCAGCAGGCTCTTCTCCCGAATGGAGGATTCGGCCGCCATCATCTCCTCAGTGGTGGAGGTCTTCTCCTGGTCGAGTTCTATGTCCCCACCGCCACTGCCACTGCCACTGCCATCCAGATTAGTGTCGGGCGTGAGTTTTACATGCCTGTGGTCCACCTCGAAGGGACTGGGAATGCTCCGGGGCTCGTCCTTTTCGGACTCGGCTATGTCCTCCAGCTCGACGAGGGGAAAGTTCACATCCCGTAGGCTGAAGTCGTCCTCGGGCAGGGAGGGATAGGCCGGATTGGACTCCACCTGGGGCACATCGTCCTCCACGTCCATGTGGTGTGTGGAGCTGGAAGGGGGCGGCTCACTGCTCACCGATCCCAGGCCCTCGGTACTGACTTCGATCCCCGACTTGGTGGTGTTATTGCTGATGACGGATCGGCTGGTGGCCGGGGCATCCGTGGTGACTCTGGCGATGGTTCCCGGTCCCTCGGTGGTGGATATGATGTGGTAGATGTTGTCACTGCCCGCCGTGTCGGGTTCGAGCTCCCCGTCGGAGGACTCCACCAGGGAGTCCTTGAAACCGTTCTGGATAAACAAGGGCAGGGATTCATCGAAGCCCTTGGTGCTCTGGGCGATGGAACCCTCCGTGGTGTACTCCCTCTTGATGTTCACCTTGCTGGGATCGTTTCCGGCCAGCGGCTGCAGTCCCTCGGAGATGTAGGTGACCAGCGGCCGCACCTGTTGCTCCACGACGTTGCTGCTGCTCTGGGCAAGGGGTCGCTCGATGTAGCCCACCGAGGCGATGAGCTTTAAGCTCTCGCTGCCGCCTGGAAGTGCTTTCGGGTTGCTGTCTTGGCTGGGCGTTGGTGTTGCCGCCGTGTCCGTTGGTGTTGCTGCTGGCACCGGCGATGTTGCTGCTGCTGCCGGACTGCTGCTGCTGGCCATTGGTGCTGCTGTTGTCACTGCTGCACCGGCTGCTCCTGTTGCTCCTGCTGATCCTGCAGTGGTGCTGTCCACGCTGGTGGTGGATGGTGGAGCAGGTCCCTCGGTGGTGGGCATCGCACTGCTCGGCTTCCGGGTGGGAATCGACGGCTTGGCCCTGTTGTCGTCCGTTATCCGGATCTCCGTCGGCTTGGTTATCTCCTTGATGGTGATGTTCCAGTTGAATCCGGCCGGCTGAGCCAAGGCCCCTGGCTTCTGGGTGGAGGTGGTGGAGCTGCTCACGGGTTCGCTAGCCAGCGGCGGGTTGTTGTCGAGAACTGGGGATTGGGGAAGAGCAAGGAATTAGTGACCACTGGTCGACCTGGCAGCACACACGGATGACTCACTCGGACAGTTGTCGTACTCCGGACAACAGCGACCGGGCACGTATTTGGGCATGCAGTCGTCACGGCGGAAGCAGGTCACCGAGCTGCAAACAATCTCGCCGCCTGCAACAAATGGAGTGTGTTCAGGCAAAGTGTTTGGTGTTTGGCTAACAGTGCTAAACTCGGCGAAAATATGTTCAAAACCTGGTGGAATGCATTCTAATATTTGCTACACAAAAAAAAAACTTTGGGCATTCAGAAAACAAAAATTAATTTCTTTTCGAAAATCGAAAGTTACACCAAATGTAAGAAATAAATTAAATATTTCTCTAATAACTTTAGGAAATAGTGTAATGCAGTGAACAAACTTCAGTAACAGGGAACATTTTCCTCCTGGTAAATAAAGTTACAAATATTCAAATTTTCAATAGGAACATTTTATAGGACACTAACTGTGCGCTTATAATTCTATTTCTTGTTTTGAGATTAAAAATTTTAAATAAAAATAAATACTTGATTCTTTTTAGGAAACACAACCTAATTATTTTTAATTTTTGTTTTTTAACAAAAATTTCAATTTGATGAATATAGGTTACTAAATTTTATTATAAAAACGCTAATCATATTAAGAAAAATTATTTATTAAAGTAAATTTATGATGGTTGGCATACCAATTAAAATATCTCAAGTCTTGCTATAATTTCGCCCACTTCGCAGCTAAATTTTAAGCAAACTGGATGCACTCACCTTTGCAATAACACACGGTGCACGGCGTGTCCGGATCAACCAATTTATAACCATTGGCATAAGTTTTGCCATCCTTTTCGCAATCTGCGGATGGGGGAGATTTGCATAAATGCATCCGAAAGGCTATTCGCCGGCGTGGTGTTCACTTACCGCATTTGTAATCGGGGCAGCAGTGGCCGGTGCGCTGGATGGCACGACAACTAGTCTGATACTCGCAGCGGGCCGCGGTCTCGGAAACCCAGAGTCCGTCCAGCAGGCATTGGCCTATAAACAATTTGAGGAGGCGGGCATTGTTAGTCATTTAGTTTAGGAGTGGGCGGCGGGATTAGTTTTCGGCTCTTACCCTGTGGCTGCTGCTGTTCCGGGGAAGCCGGGGACTCCGTGGTGCTGGCCGCGGGGCCATAGGATCCAAATCCGGCACTTCCGCCGCTCGAGCTGCTCGGAGCGATGCTCGGCGTGACCGCGACCGTGACGACTGTGGAGGATGCGCTGCTGCTTTCAGTGGCGGGCACTGCAAAAAAGGAGAAAAGCACGAGTGTGAAATAGGAGAAAGCGGAAAGTCAACTAAGGCCAGGGCAAGGCATCCTGCACTGGAAGAAAAAAAGGAGGTGGAGCAACAAAAAGAAAAACCAACGGAGCCCATCATTTTTAAGACGCAGATTTCCATATGGCTTACGAAGATTTAGTTCGCTTTAAACCTGTGGGACGGTGCCTTTCCTCCACATCTCCAAATTCTGTATCTTTACCTGTTTGGAGGGTGAAAATAGGCGATACAAGAGTGTATATACAAAAAAATTAATAAAATTTTGCTTAAACAAATGCATTCTTGCTAAGTCGACATTCTCTATTAAATAAGTTTAATGTGTGCAATATGAAATGTGAAGAAAATTCAGAGATTGGCTTAAGACAAAAATGTTTGTATAACTAATAATTATTCTTAAATGATTTCATTAAACACTATTTTAAAATAATGTTTACACAATCACTCGATTCGGTCTTTAGAATTTAAAATTTAGATGTACAGCTTTGTGACTCATTAAAAGCGTTTTTGCTCGCTTTGTCACTTTTATACACTATTATTAGGGTAATACAATTTTCATTTATGACCCTAAAATATTGTTGAAAGGCATTATAAGTGACATTTTTAATAAATTAAAGCCTTTCCGTTTTGTAACTGATTGAATACTTGTTGACTCATTCCAAGAAAAACAAATAAAATGGGAACCACTTTAATAAGTGAAATTTGTAAGTGCAAGTTTCTTTAAAATTAATTTGTTCTTTTCATGGTACTAAGATTACTGTTAATTTAATTTAACATCCATTAAAAAGTTAGTCTTTTTTTTAAATTTGTTTTTTATTTTAAAGAATTGTTCAACTAGTTTACTTTAACATTTAAGAGTAAGTTTCTTGTGTTTAAGATTATAAAAGATAATTGTGTTTCTAAGCTAAGTGCCTTTTGCGAAGCTATCCCGAATCTTCCTTTAATTAAATTAAAATGTAAATTGCATTCATGCTTTAATTTACAAATGTAATTGGATTAGTTTTTTTTTTTGGATTTTCGTAGAGTGTATCCAGAAGCAAAAAGGGACCATGAGGGAGGAGGGGGAACAACAGATGCCCTTTGCCCCCCTGTCACTGGGTACATATTTGAATGAATGACATTTTGATAACAGTTGTTTGTTGTTCCTGTTGCTGTTGCTGCTGCTTCTGCTTCTGCTTTTGCTTCTGCTTCTGCTGGGCAAGGTAAAATGCTATCAAAATACGGCAAAGTTAAATGAGTTTAGTTTTAGTTTGGCTTTTTTGTTTGCCCCGTTTGAGGCGACTCCCAATTGGGAAACCGAAACGAAGAGGAGCACAAGATGGAGTGGCAGCCGCTTTGTCTACGCCCGTTGATTGTCCAGTTGGCGTATAATTCCGATTGACAAGCCTTGTACGAACTCATTTTCCATTTGCCCCTTAAATGGTCTTTCTTTAAGGTCTTTTTGGCCCTGCAATCTTTTGAGCTCGGGTCTTGTCATTTGACATGAAAAATGATTAAATATGTGCGAGCATTAATCATACGCCCAGTGGTTCAGTTTTATTGTGCCTGCGTTGGCCATCCTTTATTTTGAGTCCCCTTCATAAACTGGGACCTATCTATGTACATCCCACGCCAAATTGTTTTCCTAGCGCTCATTAAGGGAACTGCATATGCTGCTCACTTTTCCTTTTCCCCTTCCGTTTTGGGAAAAAGGGGGGACTCTTGTTTAGATTTATTTCGCTGTTCAACTTGGGGGAATGAAATGTCCAGAGTTGATTAAATTTAAAAGTCGCTTTATTATGGTGAGTAAAATATATTTTATGTTGTCTAAGACCAGTTCTATTTTACTTTGGTTTATTTTTATTAAAGCCAATCTAACTTTAATGATAATAAATACGGTAGCAACAATGCCATAATTAAATATAATAAAAGAATACTATTGTGATTTTATATTCAAACAATTTTAATTTTAGTGATAATAAATACGGTAGTAATATATCAATTTCGATATAACAATTATAGAAATATTGTGAAAAGTTGTTATTTACAAGAATATATGATTGTCTTTTATTTAATTCATTCATGAATATTTAAAAATTAAAATACCGAATATTTCCTTTGTTGGGGTTATATATTTTTGATATTGTCAAGTGCCATTAAGCTTAAGCTGATTTTTGTATGAGTAAATCCTGCATTTTCAGCCTTAAGTTTATTTTAAATGAAAGTCCCCCGCATTATCTTCATAATGCTCAGAGTCCACCAGCTGTGCTCCATATCTTTGCTGGCATCTTTCCTTGTGCATCGCACTTAGCTAAGTATTCTGAAATCATTTTAAACGTCTACGACTTTCATTTAGCCTTTTTAAGCATTTTTGCTTGTTGCTCGTTATGCAAGGCACAGACACACATGGATGAAATCCGAAACGCTGCAATTAATAGAACAGCTTCCCGTTTTGCGCTCTGTTTTCATTTTTTCATTGTGGAACGCAGCGCTAATTCCGCGACTTCCCATTGTCTCTGGGTCTCTGGGTTTGTCTTTTTTTTTGTTGCTGTGGCTCCCAGTAATTTTTGGCTGGCCAACACGTTTCAAATGAGCAAAATTATTATTCACATTATGTGGAGCAGTTGGGGGGACGGATGGGGGACATTTGTCTGGGACTCAAGTAACACGATTTGGTCAGATTACGTATACGCCACCGAGAGATCTTATTTTAGATTTTCCCGTCAGCCTCTTCACTTGCTTTATCTCACTCCCTCTCTGGATGCTTAAATTCTGTAAGCCGGTGAATTTTTTTGTCTCGGCCGACTGACAATAAATTGTACTCTGCGAAATTGCATTGTAAATTAGCTTTTGATTGTTTTCCGCAAGACAGAAAGTTATTATGCAAATGCCAGTAAATGTGACGCGATTTGCCGCTGCAATGGCTGCTGATTCATACCCATAAATGTCAATGATTCTAAATTAATGTTGTTTTTATTTTGTCGTGATAAATGATAAGCACAATTCCGGGCAATTGTTATAAACAAGCTGGCAAACAACCGAAAAAGGGCCTGGAATGACTTTCAGTCAGTGCCAGGGGCGTAGGAAAAGCGTATATCAAGAGGGCTGGATTGTAAATACCCACTTAGGCTGGATATTATCAGCTAAATATCCATTAAAGCTATGCCAGTTGGAGCAAATTTTTGACAGCCTCCCCCGCGAATCCACACCACTGCACCGCACTATTAATAATACTTAACACCATTGATAAATACGGCCGGCTATAAACGCCTAAGGCCGAAACCAACAACAAATCATCCCAAAGTCGAGCCAAGGAGCGTGGAAATTGCGGAAAATTGTCTGGCTCGCCGTCGCCACCTACACTTCATAAACTAGTCAACTTCAGCCCGGCCCAGAAAATGTTTTCCATCATTATTACATTTCCAGCAAGTGGCTTTCTCGCCGCCATCCTCGCTTTTCCCGCTTTTCCGGAGCATTGCTTAGTTGAATTTCCGCCGAGCGCTTAAGTCGTTGCGGGGTCGGTTCATCTGGTCGCTCCTTCAGTTTTCTTAAGCAGTTTGCGGTTAGTTAGGCAGAAGATGTGTTAGTTTGACATGACTTCTGCTCAGCCAAATGCAATAAGGAAATTCCTAGCCCATGAATTGTGAGTGTAATTGCATTTTTATTGGGGCAAAGTTGTTTAAGTCTGCAGACCATGAAATAGTAGATGTTGCGAAGGAAAGAGCTGTTAAAAGAATTATAGAAAGGAATGAAGCGACCTATATACATATGAATAATTTGGTGTGGAATTTAAAAATATAATGAATATAATGTCAAAGTGGTTCTGTAAATTTTTAAAGGGAAAACAAAATGGGAAGATACTACTAAAAATTACAAAATTAAAATTTCTTAGCCCTAAAGATTCTTTGACATCTTATAAATTAAGTCTTACCCAACTTAATAACTTGAATGAGAACTAATTGCTGTATTTAAAAAATACAAAATTGGTTAATGTTAAATCTTGCATTATTAAAATGCTTATGTTGTTGGGAATCTGATCTTAGCATGCATGTCAAACTAAACTCGAAATTGGTAACAAGAATATGCCGTCATGCTTATAGACAGATTTATATACCACTTGATAATTCCATTGTTCCCATGGGGAATTTCAGCGGAAACCGAGAAACCAGCGGCGCGTAAGTCAGGCAGTTGTGAATGCGATTTCAAATTGACGCTTAAATGGCATTCAAAACGAAAGCAAAAACAATGAAAAACAATCAAAATACGGCGGACGGGTGATGGGATGGCGGACTGACAGACGGACAAATGACAACAAATGAGCTTTTTGAGTGTTCTGAACTTGTTGTTGCACTTGTCGTCGTTCTGGACAAAGATGATAAATGAGGTGGGCCAAAAGGCGGCGCAAGCGGGAGACTTTTTTCTCAAAAGCCGCAGAAAACACAAACTCATCGCCCGACAAAAAAAAACCTCAGAAAACAAATTATACGGTTTAATGGCAGGTGATATGCGCGAAGCGAAATACGCTGGATGATAAAAAGAGGAGAGGAATTCATTTGCTGGATTGAACAAAGTTGAAATTGGAAACGGTTGGTATTATGATGGAGCCAATCAAAAGTTTAACAAGCATTGTAGAAAAATAATACCATCTTATAAAAAATAATAATAATTTTGTTAGTTCAGGTTGTGAAAAATAATTTCTGTAGTTCTTCTACGCATGAGAAGAGCATTTAATTTGCAAGATTAAACATTAATCAAAAGGTTGACAAGCATTTAGGAGTAGTACTTTAACATCTTGGACTTAAAGTTAATAATTTTTGATCAACTTAAAATTGTATATCTAAAAAAGTGTAGGTTTATTATTATGTAAGGATTGGAATAACAAAGAAAATTGTTTAAATCTTTATTTATGTAATGTTACCTTTTAAATTAACATTCTTTTTAAGGTCCCCAAGCAAAAAATGTCAATTCCTGCACATGTATATTTATTACAT